AGTTGTGACTTTTATGAAAAGTTGTGACTTTTATGAAAGGTTGTGACCTTTCCGAAATATTGTGACTTTTCCAAAGGTTTGTGACCTTTTCGGTAAGGCACAATAAGAACCTTTTCACAGTACGCTTTGTTTTCTATAAATTGAGGGATTTCCTCTCATTTTAGTAGAACTAAGTTTTCTGGACTTCTTCTACTACTACTAAATCTAGTATTCAAAGTGTACTTTACTGCCGTTGAGTGATTCGCTGACACCGTGGTTTTAGGTACCGATACACCGGTGAGTAAGATCGTTCTATCCTGGGAGGATATATTCCATTAACCTCGGGTACTTGAGGGGAATGATTTTCTTAAGGGAACACTCTGCATTCAGTGGGCTCGATTTTCTTCTTTGAAAAAAATATTTTGTATATTATTTCTAATCTGTTCTGATTCAATTTTCTCTACTAGTTTTAATTTTTCTAGTTTTGAAAATACTCTTTAAACTTTGTTGTTTCTTATCAAGTTCTTCAATGTTCTTGTTCTAAGTATCATAGGAATACAGGGTGATCAACAATTTTAGTGTAAAATTTACATATATCATCATATCATATCATACTATATTTTACGTGGGAATCTCTCAAGTTAAAAGTTGAATTACGAAATAACCCTAAAGCTATATGACCAATTTATTTTTGACCCAAAAGGTTTTTGTTTTTTACGTTGTTATCATATGGATAGTTTTAACTACTTTGAACGAAAAGAGTGTAAGAATTGTATAGGTTATCTGAAATTTAATTATAAAATTCATTTTATATCTTATTTTTACTTTTTAATCTTTAAGATTTCACCCGTTCTATTATTATTTTTGTCTTTTCATATTCTTTTGCATCTTCTATAACATGAAGAGTAAAGTGAGTGTTTTTTTCTCATTCGCATAGTCAAAGTCCCCAAACTTTTCCTTACCGCTCTTATTTGTGATCCTTCTTATTATATTGTTAAAGGTGGTTATATAAAAATATATAAATATTCATATTCATTATTTCTATTTTACCATGCCGATCTTTTCTCTCTTTTTATTTTATTTTATTCCTTGATGTTTATATAATGTGGTTTTCATGAATATAATTTTAACTTTTGATTTTATAACTGAATCCGTAGGGAACCTTAATTCGCTTGATTTCTTATCTATGTTTTTCTTGCTTTTGTTAACAATCTAACGAGTCAGATAATTTTATGAATCATGCAAAATTATGAGAATGTAGTACTCTAATATTTGTAAGTTATTTATGTGTGCAAGAATCTGGTGGGATTGTCCATTATGAGTTTTGATCATTAACTTTCCTTTCATTAGCGATATTTTTTTAAAAAATTTAAATATTGGCCATGGGCCATTTTATAGATTAAGTGAAAAAGAGGAGAGATTTGCCCAACCCAATAGTGGTGGACCCAAAAGCTAAGTAAAAGACAAACTAAAGCTAAAATAAAAAACAAAGCCACAAAAATTACCATTTGAAATTAGGAAAGTCATGTCTCTCTCAAAGCAGATCGTGAGCTTCTGCGGATTTAACCAGTAAGTTCACCTTTTTCCTTTCCTTTCAATTCCTCAATCTGCATTTCTCAATTGTTTTCATTTTTGTTTGTCGATTTTCCAGGTAGTCACTTGTTGTTGTATGGTTTCATCTATGACAGAGTTATCTTCTTTGAATCTTGTCCTCATACCCTTGTTTTTCGCCTTACACTTATCTTGTTTTAGATTTGTAACCTGTGTTAGTAGTGTAGTTGTTGTGCTCTGGCTTTGTTTTCCATGAGCAGCGTAGTTGTGACTTGTGTGCTCTGGCTTCGTTTGCCGTGCCTGTGAACTCTTTACTGTCTTCTAGTAATGTATCTACTCCTGATCATCAATTATTTGTGTGTTGTTCACCTGATTGCCTTGTTCTTGATTCTTACATTCGGTACCGAGTGTTTGTCCAAGTTGAGGATTTTCCTCCCCTGCAATGGTAGCTCGCTGTATGTATTAAATTGTTGTCTCCCTGTCACTTCAAATGCATAATTAGCTAAGTAGTCGGCTAATATATTCCCTTCCCTATAAATGCGTTCAATATTAATCGTAGAATATTGCATCAGTGATAGAGTCTCTTCCACTATAATTCTAATGTTTCATGGTATCTCTCAATTTCCTTGTAGTATGTTTTTCAATAGCAATGAATCGGTTTCTATTGTTACTCTCGAAAATCCCCTTCTTGTACGGTGATATATTGTTTCCTTTATTGTCACTGCTTCTGCTTCCACGTTAGTTGTATCTGGTATCTCCTCTGCTTGTGCATAGATTAAATTTTCTTCCCGATCCCTTAGGCAATAAGCATGAGAGCTCTTGCCTGGATTGCCCTTACTTGCTCCATCTGTGTTGCATTTTATAGTATTTGAATTTGGGGGCATCCATATGATCTTTTTGTAGTATATCCTTGGCTTGTAATTCTCTAAGAATTTTACCATATCTGACCAGTTGGTGGGAAATTGTTTCAGACTTGGAAAACTTGATCTTGCAAATTGCCATACATTGAGGGTAACCTGATAGAAAAGTTTATTATATGTCATGTTTCCCCATGTCTGATGATATTTCTTCTTTTCCATATTTCCCAAAGTATAATTGCAGGCATAATCTTCATAATTTGTTGAAGTTTGTGACCTGCGTGTGCTGTCCACCATGTTATTAGCACTTGATTTAGGTTTTGTCCTTCTAATCTTAGACCGGCAAAATGAGCAAACATATCCTCCATAGCTTATAAGCTATTGGAGAGGTTAAAAAAAAGATGTTCCACAGTTTCTTGTGTTGGATTATCACAGCACCAACATCTTGATGACATGTCACCCCATTCTCATCAATATATCATCACTGGGTATTCTATATTTCCAAACTCTCCAAATAAAGAAAGATATTTTTAATGGAAGTCTCTTTTCCCACATGTTAAGAAATCTACTTTGCCTCTCTTTCCTCTGTTTCAGCATCCACCATGTTCTGTCCAGTATACCATCAAAAATTGGACTTAGGATTGTTTTCAATATGTGTTGTACAATATCTTCTGATAACCACTTTCTTAGTTTGTCTACTTTCCAACCCAGTTGATCTGCAAATTCCTTGACCTCTATCTCTTCCTCTTGACTGGTTTCATGACTGAAGTAATATAGCGCTCCTTGAGTTATCGAACCAAAAACTTGAGTCTCCCCCTTTAATTTTCCACCATATATGATGTTCTACCAACTCTCTAATCTTGATCATTGTTCTCCATGTGGCGGATGCTCCCTTACTCTGAGCAATTACTGGATGTAACTTTTTACAGTATTTATTACCCATGTAAGAGCTCCAAAGTGTAGTCTTTGTTCTGAAAATCAACCATAATCTGCAAAATAGTGCTTTAGATATATCAGCAAGAGATCTAAAACCAACTCCTCCTTCCTCCTTAGGTAGACATAATTTATACCAACTTATCCAGTGCTTCCTTTTACTGTCTGTAGTGTTTTTCTAGAAAAATCTATTGAGCATCATATGTATCTGTCTTATCACCCCTTTTGGAGGAGATAAAGCAGACAATAAATGTATAGGAATACTCTGCAACACAGGTGAAATTAGAACAGCTCTTCCACCAAATGATAACATTTTTCCTTGCCATACCTGTATTCTTTTTCCCACCTTTTTAATCACTGAATCATAGTGGGAAGTCTTATTTCTTCCATAGAATATAGGACATCCAGGGCCGACTCAACAACATTGGGGGCCTAAAGCGAAACTTAAGAGAGGGGCCCTAAATTTTTTTTTCATCATATGTAGTTTTATTTAAAATATACTTTTCTAGCTATTTCAGATGCAAAGTTATTAAGTATTGTTTTATAATCAATTTATTTTAATAATTCCTTTTCAAATGATAATATAGCTAATTCATTCAATCTATCTTGAGACATTGTTGATCTTAAAGAAAATTTAATCAATTTTAATTTCGAACGGAGAAAATTTTGGTTGAGGCAATGGTTATGAACTGTTAACACAATATGTGTATTTGGAAAAGAATCAAATCTTTTATTTGATTGAGTATTTTCATTACATCATTATCTTCTACTTGTATTGTTTATCTTTAACACTTTTACTTCAAAAAATAAATCTAAACCATCAATTCAGAATAACTAGTATGTGTTAAAGAAAGTTCAAGGTTAAGACAATTTTTTTTAAAAAATTTCATCATCTAGTAATCTCAATATTTTACCACTAAATAAGAAATCAAAAATATTTTTATATGCTTCAATTGGTTCAAATCTATTTTAAAGTAAAAAAATAGTTTGATCTTCTATACATATATAACGTAATCAACTCTAAAGATTCTTCGAGGGACTTAGTGATTTCGTTATCCATATTTTCATCAAATTGTTTCTTACGAAAATTATATGTATATTCATGTCATATGCAATTTCTTTAGTAGAAATCATAGCACTCATAGTACATATAATTTATTTAAAAAAAAATAATATATACAAGTAATTGTTTTTTAAAAATGGGGCCCCCAAAAAATATGGGGCCCCAAGCGATGGCTTTAGTGGCCTAGGGGTTAAGACGGCCCTGAGGACATCCCAAGTATGTGAAAGGGAAAGCTCCATGTTTTATGTTGGTTAGTCTTTTGATGCTTCCTATCAGTCTTGAATTCACCTTTTCATGTACATAAAATGCACTCTTCTCCAAATTAATTAGCTGACCTGAAGAGTTTTCATATCTTCTTAGTACCCTAATCATCATCTTCATTGATTTCTTGTCGGCCGATACAAAAAAATTGTATCATCTGCATAAGAAAGATGGTTAATATTTGGGCTCCATTTGGGTAGACCATATCCTTTGAATTCTTCATTTTCCCATAGTGCATTTAAACCCCTCGTTAGTGCTTCTGCTGCAATTATAAAAAGAGCCGGTGATAATGGATCTCCCTGCTTGACTCCTCTAGATGACTTGAAAAATCCATGAGTCCGCCCATTTATCAAAATTGAGTACCAGTTATTGGACAGAAGTCTATATACCATGTCAATTAAACCTTCAGAGAACCCAAATTGACTCAGAACTAAATTGAGGAATACCCATGATAGCCTATCATATGCCTTGGTCATATCTAGTTTTACTACCACATTTGTTGTTTTTGTCCTCATCCTGATATCCCTTATAATCTCCTGTGCCAAAAGAATATTTTCCACTATATTTCTTCCTTTAACAAAACCTGTCTGGTTTCCAGAAAAGATAGTAGGCAGAATATTCTTTAATCTCTCATGTATAACTCTAGAAATTATTTCATTACTGAAGTTACTCAGGCTAATTGGTCTTACATCTGCATAGGTATGCACCTGGTCCTTTTTTGGTATTAAGACCAAATTTGTGTGAGTAATATATCTAGGAACCTCTTGGCCTACAAAGAAGGCCCTTACCATTCTAATGATGTCTTCTTTTATGATGTTCCAGCATGTCTAATAGAAAATACCTGTAAACCCATCTGGACCACATGCACTTTCTATATTTAACCCAAATACTGTTGCTTTAACCTCTTCTTCTGTTGGCAATTCCTCCAGCTTTTGATTTTGCTCCTCTGTTACCAAACTAGGAATATGATTTACTAAAGAGAAATCTTTTTGAGATTGATCCTCTATAAATTGCTCCTGAAAGTATCTTATGGCTTCAGCAGCTATGTCTCTTTCCTCTGTAAGCCAATCTCCTTGAGTATTTTGTATTCTATTTAGCTTCAACTTTTTCCTTTTTCCCGTTACAAATGAATGAAAGAATTTGGTATTATTTTCTCCCTCTTGAAACCATTTCAGACCTGATTTATGTCTCCAGTACTCTTCTTCAAGATGTAAGTATCTGCTTAATTTTGCTTCAGCTTTATGTAACTCTTCTCTGTTATGTAAGGTTGGAGATTTTTCAAATCTGACTTCATGATCCTGTATTACATCCTCTAGTGTTGCAATTTGCTGAAACACATCACCATATGTTTCCTTACTTCAAGATCTGAGAGCATGTTTCAGCCTCTTCAATTTCTGTTGTACCATGTAAAAAGGGTTACCATAAAAATCAAGTCTCCAATGTTCCTCTACTAGCTTTTCAAAAGAGGAATGTTTAGTCCAAAAGTTTAAGAACTTGAATGGTTTGATAATTTCCTCAGTATTCTGTGAACATTCCAACACTAATGGAGAGTGATCTGACCCTTTTTTAATAAGATGCTTGATCTTCATAGTTGGAAACAAGTTCATTAATCTTTGATTTCCCAAAATTCTATCTAACCTTTTGAAGATGCATGCATCCTCTGATCTTCCATTCCACCATGTGTAAGTGCTTCCAGTGTATCCCAGGTCATATAGACCACTAGTAGCAATACAATTGGCAAAATCTTCATTTTCCTGATAATTGATCGGCGACCCACCCATTTTTCTTCAGGAGAAAGTATTACATTGAAATCACCTCCTACCAACCATGGTAAGGAAAAGTGACTAGAGATATGTTGTATTGAGTTCCATAGCTCTTCCCTGTTAATTGCATTACAAGATGCATACACTACAGTGACCAATGCCTCAACTCCCATGTTTTGATGTACCACTTTTAATGTCATTTGTTGTGTAGAGTCTTCTATAACAACTACATGTACATCTTTTGTGAATATCCATATTTGACCAGAGCAATTTACCAAAGCAGTATCATGACCCAATCTTCTTCTATATCTCTCCAAATCTGATGAATCTTGAAAAGGTTCCATCAGACCTATTAACCAGTAATTGTTTCTTCTATTTAAATTAGTCAGTCTCTCAAACGCTTGTTGAGTATTGACTGACCTAATATTCCATAGAAGGATCTTATTCGTCATTAATGACTGTATTTGGAGGCAGCTTGCCTCTTTGGTAGTTGTCTTGTTGCTTGTGAAGTATCTTTTTGAGATTTTCCACTGTTTTTTAGATGACTCTCCTCCATTGCCCTTGGTGTGTCTTGGTGAAATGTCTCCTGCTTTAGCCACCTCTTTTATATTCTTCTCCAATGTTTCCTTCTCAATGTTCTCACTTCTAATGTTGTTGTTTTGCATTTCTATTTCTGCCAAGGAAGCATCAATTTCTTCCTTGTCAGGATCTAAAATGTCCCGTTCTGTTGTATCTACTGCCTCTATCCTTTCTTCATCATATGTGTTCTGTTGCTTTGTTAATTCTAGCTGATTCTGACTTGTTGTCTGCTCTCTGTTCCCTAACTCATCTGTCTTATTTTCCCCTTGAATTTTCTTTTTCTGAATGACTTTCTCCTTTGAACTTATTTCACATGTGCTTTTCTCCTGTGTGCCTGTGTTATTTGTAGGTGTTTCACTGCCTACATCATGTTTACTGTTAGAACTAACTTGTGGTTAAGTTATCTGATTCTCCTCTGTCCCTTTGTCTTTTTTAAAATTAATATCCACCCATTGCCTTGTTCCCATTTGCTTGTTGATGTCTCTTTCTTCTTCAGATTTGTTGCTGCTAAGTTCTTCTTCCCTGTCCTTGTTCTCTTCAGTCTCCTTGGTCCCCTTTGTTGCACTTGTAGCATCCCTTGTATCATCTAATTTGTCATTGTTTAGCAGAGTTGCAAAGGCATTATTAGTGCTGACTCCTTCGGTAAGTTTTTCAGCTTCCACTTTATTTTTGACATTGTACATCTCTATTATCCTTCCCCTTTTATCTTTTGCATATTTATTTCTTCGCTGCATCCATTCCTGCTTTCTTTGTGTGTTACCAACAACTTTACCACTACTTAGTATTTTGGTCTGAGTTGCTGTTGTTCCCAGTTTGTCCTTATTTTCCTCAAGGTTTTCTCTAAATTGCCTTTCCAGGGTGTAATGCACGACATTCAGTTTCTCTATGTCCCTGTAGCTTACAATGACTGCAATATTTTGGCAAATAGTCATACTTGATTGTGATCCATTTAGAATTTACTTTTCCTGTGACTTCATCCTCTTCTGCAATTTTAATCCTCTGTGGATGTTGTGCTAATAAATCTACCTCCACTTTAACCTTTGCACAACTAGGTCTAGTCTTGTTTTGTGTCGCCATATCTACTGTTAATGGTTTTCCAATTGCAGAGGCTAGTGAGAAGACAGCTTCTCTAGCAAAGAAATTAGGCGGCAAGTCTGGTAAACTAATCCATGCTACTGCTATTGATGGCTCCTCTTCTTGAACAAACCAATGATTCCACTTCAATGGTCTCATCTGACAGTACAGGTTGTGCACCTTCAAATAGTATGTTGGGGTCGACATCATCTTCACATAATCCTCCAATTAAAACATGTCTGTTTTCTAATAGTCCTATGTTTCATGGCCCTTTGATCTCGCACTGTACTGGGATTACTTTACGTAATTCATGTAAATCTGGCTTATCATAAGAGAACTTTCCTAGAATTGCATATTGTAAATTCTCTTGTATGATCATCTGTTGAACTTCTGATGACTTCCAAGTGATTTGTGGCTCACCGTGTAGGTAAACCACTGTCTTCCTCTGAATTGGCATTGGGTTGTAATCTGGTATTAATACTTCTGAGAACTTTGTGGTTAGAGGAGAGGGTTTTATTGTGGATGTGGACGGAGCAACCTCCAGTGGAGGCTGTCCGCCGGCCACCAGGGCCATCAATGGCAGTAAGTGGTGGTTTTAGGTCTACAGTTCAAAAGATGCGTTCTTCTCTTGTGCGTGCAAAGTTAAAAGTTAAAAGAGATTACACAGAGACAATTTTATCGGTTTCATTAGCGATATTTATCAGAAAATATATCGATAATTTCCTTGTGATTGAATTAATTTTTTTTATCCTTTTGTTTTGGATGAATTTATACCAGAGACGCTCTCTCTAATGGTATAAATTAATCTTTTCCTTTCTATTATAGTTTGAAAATTCACTAGACCGAATGTAAGAAAAACATACTCCAGCCTCCAGATATTTAATTTTTTATACTATTGACCTATTTGCTTAATTATGTCTAAAAATGCAAGAAAAACAGAGTGAATGAGAAAAGAATTAAAACTAATCTTTTTTTGGAATTGACAAAAAAATGATAGCGAAACATGGAACCACTTACGGCTTCTTCCAAATTTGATTGAGAGGAACAATCAAATGACATTAAAAATCAATTAATCTAATGAAGTTCTATTAAATGCTAAATAAATTTTACAAAAACAATTACTATGAAATAACTACCAACAATATATATGGCTTTGTAAACATTGTCAAACACTTTCGTTTTCATCATTATGAATTAGTGCTAATGATGAATTTATATTAGATTTTTTTTCATTAAGCATATTAAATAAATGTGCATCAAGAATAGGCCTAACCCAACAATTGTTGCATCAAACAAACTCACTAGGGATGTCACAATTTACTTTCAGTCCGATTCTTCTACTTTTTTCTTAAACAAGTGAGTAATACATTAATTTTTTTACGTAAAAATATTATCAAGTCACATTTTCTATGCTCTAGTTAGTTGTTCATTAATTGGAAACCATACACGTTGTTTTCTATTCTGAATGCAATGAACATAAGTGGACATGTCGAAAAGAAGAAAAAGAAATGAAAGAGGTAAATTATGGTATCCATGGTAAGAAAATATGATATTAACTTGTTCATATGCCATCTAAGAATTTCGAGGTCAATTTCTTGAATTATTGTAGATAGTGAAGTTTTATTGATAAATTCATATTAAATTTGGATTAAGTCTTAAATTCATGATACGTTGATCAAGTCAAATTAATGGTTAATAAAGTCGAATTAATATTTAAGTCAAAGTTATATGACTTAAATCAAGTTCAAATTACATTTGGGCCGGTCCGTTAAGTTGACAAGATGAGCTCAACTCATGTTCTTCAAGCCGAAGGGCCAAAATTGCTCAGACCAAAATACCCCTAAAATCCTAGCTCAAGCCTATATAAAGAGGTCTTCATAAGACCAGAAAAGACATATACATACACATTGAAATACATTGAGAATCCTTGCTCTTCAGTGGTGATCTGCAAGTCTTCCGCATACAAAGAAGTATTCGCTTCACGTGTTGAGCCGCAAGTTTTTCATCAAATCAAGAACATAAGTGAAGAGAAGAATCAGGGGATTACATATCTTTTTAAAGAGATTATATAAAGATTGCAACCTTCGCATTAATTCAAATACAAATACTGTTGTTTGCTTGTTATTTGCCTTTCATGTTTGCTGTATTTTAGGATTTAAACTTTAGACGCTTACAATTGGCACGCCCAGTGGGACAATCTTTACCTCTCATCTTTTCTCCTCGACAATCAAAGTTCCATAACACTGAGATGGCTTCCAAGAATATCAACTCGAAATATGCATATGCATCGAAATCTGCATCTACATCCTTATCCGTATTTGGATTCGCATCTGCATCTACATCTGCAAAAACTGATGGATCCAAATTCTGCATCATTGTGGAAAACATCCTTGATGTTACTGTGGGAAGTATGAGACCTATCACAAGGAACCAAGCTAAATTGCTGGGACAACAAGGCTCACGAGTGTCGTCCGAATCCTCTATTGTCTTTGGTTTTCTCTAAAACGTCTGAAGTCTCCTGCAAAAGCCACAAAAGAAGACATCACCAAAATGGTCGAGAGGGTTCTTGCCTAATTGAGCCTCTCTACATACAAAAAGCCCTTCGCTTCAGCCGATGATGATGTCTTAAGCACGAGATCTACCCCACATAACATGTTTGTATGTCATGTTTGAGAAAATCAACGCTATTCTCCATCACCTACTATGGTAATGCACGCGATGGTGACTAACGCTTCATTTGTAGAAGAACAACTTGTGAGCTTGACAAGAGCTATTGAAGGCTTGACCAAGTATGTTCAAGATCAAGATGCTCGAATTGTTAAGCTGACTGATACGGTAGAGGTCATGATGGATGAATAATCAAGTCATGCACCTGGAAAACGTCCGCATGTACAAGAGACGGTCGATCGGCCCACAAAGCAAGTGGAACATGCTAAAGAGATCTAAGTTTCCTCTGAAGGAACGATCCCGATCAACCAAATCAAGGAGTTCCTCATGGGGACCATTAAAGATAAGTACAAGGTCGCTACAAAATCCTCCTCGACATATGCAAGGCTATACACTGCAAGGATTGATATCTTGAAATTTTAGAGGTTGATAACCTCTAAAATTTCAAAAGTTCGATGGCAAGGGAAGCCCAAAGCAACATATGACATACTTCATTGAAACCTGCAACAATGCTGGAACATACAATGATTACCTCATCAAACAATATGTCTGCTCCCTTAAGGGTAATGCTTTCAATTGGTACACAGAACTTGAGTCTGGTTCCATTGATAGTTTGGAACAAATGGAGCAAGAATTTCTCAACCGCTTCTATAGCACAAGACACACTGTAAGCATAATGGAACTTACAAACACATGTCAGCGAAATGAAGAGTCGGTCTTTGACTTCATCAACCGATCGAGGCATGCAAGTGTGAACTGTAAAGATAGACTTAGTGAAGCTTCAGGCATTTAGATGTGCAAGGTATGCATTGGGGTCTCCGCTATATTTTGCAAGGCATAAAGCCTAAAACTTTTGAAGAATTGGCCACTCACACTCATGATATGGAGTTAAGCATGTCGTCGGTTGGAACTGAAACACCACATGTCCACGAACTCCGCAAAGGTAAAAAAAGGCAAGAATTCAAGAAAGTGGGGAAATATTTGTCAAATACGGAAAACAAAGAATCCATGAACGTCAATGCTTCTCATGTGATATTCACCACAAAGGTAGACAATACGCAGAGAGCAAAAGATAATTAATTCTTTTGAAGGAACGTCATATAAAAAGCTGACCTTGAAGGAAATGTAGAGGAAGGACTATTCGTTTCTTGACTCAGATATTTCCGCAATCTTTGATGAACTCCTTGAGATGAAACTTTTTGAGTTACCAGAGATGAAATGACCAAATGAAGCAGGGAGGAGTGATGATCCAAAATACTGCAAATACCACCGGTTGTTTGGCCACCCTATCGAGGAATGCTTTGTCTTCAAGGATAAAATCATGGACTTAGCTTGCGAAGGGAAGATTGAACTTGAAGATGAGAAATTGAGTTCAAATCAAGTCAGTGTTGCTTCTGACTTACCCAATCTGGTCATGACCTTCAATTTTGTTGAAGGAAATAGGGAGCAAGACATTCCAAACATTAATCAGACAAAAATGATTAAGTTTGGAGACTTTGAGCCCATTGATGTAAATAATTTGTTGTCTCTTCTTATACTAAGTGATTTGGCTCCCGTAGGAGAAAGATCGACAAGAAAATATGAAGACCCAACAAATGATCTTGATGATTGGGGCTGGACTCTCGTGACTCACCGTAAACACCGAAAAGTGAGTTCGCATAAGGATTCAACAAAGCAACATATTAGGGAAAAGATAGTAAGGAGACCCAAAACCAAAACTTTGATTGTGCATTTAAAGGAGGAAATAAAGGTGCACCACTGCCAAGAGCTGCATCGACCAATTACATTAGAAAAATATTTGCCAAGTTGGTTTTACACCAAGTTCACAAGCGATGCCACAAAGGCTCTATGTTGTAATGTCGATGAGAAGGAAGCGAAATATGCAACTACATCATGTCCATCGCCAAAAGATGCTCCAAAGTCATCTCCTGAAGTTGGAACTCTATCATGTCCATCACCAAAATATGCTCCAAAGTCATAATGCATGTATGGCCAAAATCACATTCTCTGATGATAATCTTCTGTTTGGTGAAACACATCATAATCACCCTTTATTCATGGTTGGTTTTTCACGTGAGAAAAGGGTGAACACAATCCTAGTCGATGGAGGATCTGGAATTAACATCCTTCGAATTTCGCACAATGAAAGAACTTGGGATATCAACAACAGATCTTACTGAAAGTCGCTTAATGATCCAAGGATTCAATCAAGGAGGACAAAGGGCCATAGGGACCGTCAAAATAGACCTCACCATCAGAGAGTTGCAGTCAAGTGTGTGAGTACATGTAATTGATGCAAAGACTTCTTATAACATTTTGCTTGGTAGGCCGTGCGTGCATAAGAACAAAGTAATCCCATCTACCTACCACCAATGTTTGATGTATTATGAGGATGGATTTGCAAAAAGGATTATTGTAGATGATAATCCATTCACTGAAGCTGAATCACACATTGTTGACGCAAAGTTTTACTTGAATAAATATGCCACAAAAGTTAATGACATTGTAGACACGTATTTTTGACCGAACTTAAAATTTTACACCATTTTTATAGCTGAAATATTTTTATAAATATAAATTAAATATTTTGACTTTTCTCTTATTTTTATTAAGTTTATTTTAAAAGATTTGAAAACAACAAAAATAGAATCACTTTTTAAGGTAAGTTTTATTTTTCAATTGTTTAAAAAGAAATGAAAGATTACAAAAATCTATATTATTTTAAAATTAAGTTTTTATAAATAAGCTAGTATTATTTAATTATTTTCTCTTTATAGATGTTTGACTTTTTCTTAGATTTTATTAATTTTAAATAATTA